GGCCCTGGAGGGGCTCGATGCCCGCGCCGAAAGCACGAAAGTGCCCAAAGAGGACATGAAGCACTTGGTGGAGGGCCCGCCTTCCGAGAATGAGACAGCAACCTCCGCCAAGAGGTCCCAGAGCAAGCCGGAACATGGAAGAGGCCCTCTGCGCGAGAGCAGACAGGCCAAGAAGGTCCTTGTTTACAAAGGGGTCATCACACAGGAGGAAGCAGAGAGCCTTTCTGCGGAGCAGGTCATGGACATGGTGAAGAAGTGCCGCAAGGGAACTCCATCTTGTTGGAGGTCCTGCTGCAGCAGCTGGAAAGAACAAGAAGGAGGACCTGCTGGCCAAGCTCTTCGGCGACACCCGACATGAAGGTGCCTGAGATCACGGACGAGCAGGTCCGGGAGGCCGACAAGGCGCTGGTCGCCGCCCACGAGAAGTGCCCATTCTGCAAGAAGATGTTGGACGTCCTGCGCGTCCAGACCTTGCAGCGCCGCGCTTACATGAAGGAGCACCTGCAGTCCAGCTACTTGCTGGCGGACGATCCCACCTCCATCTCTGCCGAGCAGGTCAAATGAACCCGAAACCCTAAACCCTATACCCTTTCTTGGTGTTACACCGAGTTAGGGCAGGGGAGAGGGCACCCTAAACCCTAAACCCTCAACCCTAAACCCTAAACCACAGGTAAAATCCTCGCTTCTTCGAGTGAGGCGATTCGGTGGCGGGCTGAAGGAGCTCTGCCTGGATTACTGGGGCGATGTGGAGCGGCTGCCCACGTTGGTGAAGTCGATGCACCAGAAGAAGCCCATGCAGGTGAAGTACGGCAAGGGCGATAAAGCCAAAACGTATGCCTTTGCGGTGGAGGAGGTCAAGGCGTACCACCTGGCCTGGGTGTGTTATGCGCCGACCACTGGCAAGTACAACCGGGCCACGTACTCGCAGCGCCACCTGTGCTTGCGCACCTTCCTGCAGAAGAACCCGCAGGTGGTTTTCCAGTCCCCCGAGCCCGCAGGAAGCTGGTGGCCTGTTGTCTTGCTCTAAAGGCCTTCCGATGGCGACTACGAGGACATGGTGGGCGTCCTGTCGACGGGGACCATCCTCATCATTTTGTTGGTGTCAGATCCTCGAGGATGGCTTCTGGGTCTGGGTGATGACCATCGAAGAGGTGGACGCCTGAGCCACAAAGCACTCCCCTGTCCCTTTCTTGGTGTTACACCGAGTTAGGGCAGGGGAGGGGAATATCAAAGCAATCCCCTGTCCCTTTCTTGGTGTTACACCGAGTTAGGGCAGGGGAGGGGAATATCAAAGCAATCCCC